CCTGGAGCAAAATAATGATTTATTTTTTCATGTCAAGTTTTTAATATCTTTATCGATTAAATTTCACAAAAATACCTGAACACATATACGTCCCACCTGTTAATATTCCTTTAACATCTTGTCTTGCTAACGCTTTTGACTTATTACTATTAATTGTAATTTTTATTAATTAATAATATTTCGAAGTGAGCCCTCTCCATGATTTTTTGTTACTCTTAAGGCAAACTTCGCCAGTAAAATATCTTTAAATAAAAAAAAGAAAAGAAAAAGAAAAAAGTAATGCGTGTGACAAAACAACGTTGTAATGTAAACACAGTCATGACTGCACGAAGTCTTATTATTGAATCGGTTATTCAATCCGTGTTCAATCACCAAAGGTGCAGGGACAGCAGCGGAGCGTATTTTCAGCTTGGGGGACGCTTCAAAACGAGCGCCGGAGGCGCGACTTTGTAGGGTGGTCTGTGGAGAGGATGAAAATTTTGAAATCTAGAGGCTCGGAAATGGTATTTGCAACATTCTCCATGAGATATTTCTTTAAAAAAAACTCAACCTGGGTAAAGTGTAAAAAGACAGGTAATCTTAGTGCTTACAGCAATATCATGGAGGTTTTGTGAACTTGATATATACATATTTTTCAACCCATATATCCCGTCCTTAAATAGAACACTGGCCTGCGTTTTTATACAAGCTTTAAGTGTGGAAATGATGCGCACGCTAGGAAAATGTTAAAAACACGTAAACTAGACTTTCTCAAAGTCGTTCGCATGGTTTTCACGTAAACAAGAAAAGTTAACTAAAGGATTTTGTCTTTTTTTGTAAAATCTCATTACTAAATAAAGAAAGCTTGATTCAAACAACGGTTTCAACTTTACTTCTTTTCCCGAATAACAAGAGAGAGTATCATTCTCTCTTGCTAGTGAGCCAAATCCTACACACTCGGCTTACTTTACAAATCCTTTCAAAGACAGTCAAATACCTAACGAAACAAAAAACAGATCTGGAAAGTTATCCACGGATCTGAGAACGATGTAGAACGATACCACCAAGGCACACACGAATGCCCAGTGCGATTCCCTCGTGCCAGTCTCCGACACGCACTACAGGTAACCCAACTTCATCTGTGGTAATCTATGATAAACTGGACCTTGTTTCTTCTTTTTTCTTCTTATTATTATTTACCCTTCATAAGTACCTCATACTTATACAAGAAAAAATTGTCTCTAAAAAGCCCCCCCCCCCCGCCCCACACACACACCCCAGCCGTCCCTGAGGTCGTTGACATGCAATAGAAATTATAAAAAAGCGCTTACAGGAGGGTCTCAATGGGGTGGTGGCTTTTACGGTTATCGGCTAAAATTTTGGCTCTTTTACGGCTATCGGTTAATTTTTTCAGTTACTGTTAACGAAAAAGTTATAAATTAACTTCTTTCGTTTCAAAAAGTTAAATATTAATTAACCTGTATTTTTTTGTATCATTAAATCAAAATAAACGTCTTCGGATCATCTCGGGATGAATTAAGCTATTCTTTTGAAAAATTTTCACATTTGATAGATCATACTTTTTATAAAGTATTCCACTTCTAATATTATTTTACACATAGAAATGTCAATAGTCAATTTAAAAATAATCTTTGTGAAAATGCAAAAGCAGACAAGCGAACGCCCAGCTCAAGGCCGGGGCGCGACATTCATTATAACAGAAATGGCCGTTTTCACACTAGAGAAGGATTATTCGTGTGAGACGGGTTATCCGTTTGATGATTCGCGTCAGATAGGTAATACCTCTTAATTTGAAAATGGAATAGTTTCAATTTTGAGTGAACAATCCGCCTGGCTTTTGAAGACGGGACTATCCGTTCCAGATAGCCTGTGTACAGCCGCCCCCTCCCCTCAGAAAAAATCGGAGAAGGGGTGTCTGTGGAGAGGGCGCGACTGTACACAGGCTAGTCTCGGACGGATGATCCATTTCTAGCTCTAGTGTGAAAACGGCCAACAACAAAATTCCCGTGTCCAGTGTTTTTAATGATAGCGAAGGACTGTACGGAACGACTGTCTGCCGTTGCCTTGTCCGTAGGCCGCATTATTCCGCGCGGCTAATGCGTTTCGGGTCACGTGGTCCGAGCGAGTTCGCCACCGACATGCCTTGACCGAGATTGCGTGGGAAGACGCGGTACAGGAACTAGGCATGGCAATGTCTACCGTAGCGTCAGAGGAAAACAGGGAAATGTTGTTTGTCGGCAACGTGTTTTACAAACAGTGACATCTCTGCGTGTTGTTTCACTTGTGTTTCGAGGGCACGACCTCCTGAAAATTGCAAATACTAATCCCTAGCAAGAAGCCACACTTTCGCTATGGAAAAAATTAGTTCCCCGATAGAGCGCCGGAAATGGAGCCTAGGTCTTGGTTAACACCTAAAAGGCGCAGCTTCGCCTAACGTGCGTACCGAGTCACACTAGCCGGGATATAAAAAACGCAACCATAAGTGAGTTTAGTACCTTCCTTAAAAGTAGCAAATCTAGGGAACACTTTCTTTTACGGTTAACTCTTTTTTACCCTATTTACGGCTATCGGCTAAATTTTTGGCCGTTTTACGCCTATCGGTTAACCCCATTGAGACCCTCTTACAGATGACAAGCGACGTAACATGCTTGGAAACGTGTGACAATATAAAAACCATACACCATGGTGTAACCTGAATCGCACTAAACTAAGATCAGGCTCTACTTTCATTTTCCTTGGTAACCAGATTTCCGGCGGGCAGGGCGAATGGGAAAGTCTTACATCTAGTACAGTACGTGTATATCTGAATTACATGTGTTTGCGATTCGATCATGCAAATATTGTTGTATCACTTGCTTGTGCGTTCACGTGATTACAGTGCCATCAGAGGTAACACCAGGGCCTTCGTGACCATTTTCAATGCATATTAGTACGCAGTACAAAGGCATCCCAAGAATGTGGACAGACCACCCCCAGCAAGAATACGTCTAAGAGCTCGATTTTTTCGCAATCATAAGAACACTTCTCAGTGTTGGAGGATATGTGTAAGAGGTACCAGTTTTCAATGGAGGGTATATAAAAAGGGTACCTTCTCTGTCAAAAATGGTATATTAAATGGTAAAGTAAGGGGGTGGGCCTCGGGGTGGAGCCTCCTCCCAATTCAATGATTCCTCCCAATGATCAGGCCAGAGACGAGAGTTTCTTTTCCTCTCACCCCAGTTCCCCTCCATTTTTCCCTTACTCCCCAACCCCTTTCGACGACTACCACGCAGGCTACAGTCAATAAAAACTGCGGGCCCTAACCTCGGACTATAGCGAAGAATTTAACTTAACAATGACCTGAAGCGGGTGTTAAAACACCGCTAATTTCCTCGCCCTCGGGGTTAAGTGCTAACTTACTAAAACAGGGAATGGGGAATGGGAAATGGGAAACTGAAAAATGGAAAGTAGTGGTCAGCGTTCATACCAAATCACGACCGATTTACTTGTCCATTATAAATTACATTGTTACAACTTCTAATAACTTGTTATCTGCTATTACAATGCAACATAATGGCAGGCGATCTTAGCAAGCTCTATTGAGCTCCAGGAAGCTCCCCTTGGTACAATTAAGTCTAGTGAAAACAGCAGATGGATATCAAATCTAACAATAATAACAATGAGGAATTTGTAAGAAAATATTACCTATTTATTAATTAATAAACAACAACAACTTTTTGGCATTCCCATTTATATAGATGGTATTGCATAGTAGAAAAATAAAGGATAATAATAGAAAAATACAGCAATGAGTTACAAAATAAATAACAAATAATAATTAGTTACAACATCCTGACTCTTGTTTCCTTGTCTTGAAAGATTCGAAAACAAAATAACCGATTTTTTTACTAATAAAAAGGTCTACGTTAATAAAAAGGAATAATATTTTATCTTGTTTATTTAGAGTATGAAAGATGGGATATTTCGAAATTATATCATCAAAAAACGTTTTCCTTATAAAGATGGGATACTTCGAAATTATATCATCAAAAAACGTTTATTAAAACGGCGAAACGGTGGACAGCGTGTATTCCTAAATTATTATTTTTTTCTTCTAATGAATTAATTTTAGCACCTGCCTTTTTTAAGTTGAATTAATGTAAAAAATATATATTGTTTATGGTAATCAGAAGCCCATCTGAGCTTCCGCGGTAACAAAGACCCTCGTCCAGTCTACTCGATAAAATAAAATGAAAGCTGTTTACATTTCTGATAGATGTATCGATTGAAAACAATTTTTGACAGTTATTTTGAAAGTTATGGAAGGTGTGAAAGTTAAGAAAAAGGAAACCAAACAATCACAAAACATCAGCACTGGAAAAGAAGTCGGAGGGGATTCCGCGTCAGTCATTTATTCAAAACTAACCGCATCCGACAGGGCTTAACTTTGTGGAACGGACACGTCTCAACATACAGCAGTAGCTTATATTGAGCTACTGATAAACAACAACTCGAAGTGCTATTATACAACGTGATTATACCGTTAATGAAACTAACAGTAACATAGTTTAGAATTCATTGAAAAACGTACTAAATTACATTTATACCGTACCGTTTCGTATCGTTTTAAGATGTAATCGAGTAGGTAGCACCGAGGCGACTACATTCAAACGACACGAAAAGATCCGGTTAACAAGTACGGATTATTACACAGTCACTTTTGCTCGGGGCAGGTATCTCTCGCCTATTTGAAAGCCTTATCTCAAAGTACACGTTCCCCATTGTCACCGGGTGAAAGAGTACACATCATATAACAAAAGAGTTTGCTGTGAGGGCCTCGGGAAGACAAACGCCAGCGTCACCTATTCTCCAAAGTAGAGATCCTCGAGGGAGGAGTTTGGTGGGAGGGCTTGAGAAAGAGAAGAAGTACCAGCGTCCCCAATACTGTTATCTTATAAATTCAAAATAGTCAGGGAGGAGTTTGCTGTGAGGGCTTGAGAAAGACTAAAAGCACCGGCGTCACCAATACTGTTTTGATATAACTCCAACCTAGTCAAGGAGGAGTTTGCTCTGAGGGCCTGAGAAAGAGAAGAAGCACCGGCGTCGCCAATACTGTTCTCATCTAAACCCAAACTAGTCAGGGAGGAGTTTGCTGTAAGGGCCTGAGAAAGACCGGAAGCACCGGCGTCCCCAATACTGTTATGACCTAAACCCAAACTAGTCAGGGAGGAGTTTGCTGTGAGGACTTGGGAAAGACAAGAAGCACCGGCGTCGCCAATACTGTTATGACGTAACTCCAAACTAGTCAGGGAGGAGTTTACTTTGAGGGCCTGAGAAAGAGAAAAAGCACCGGCTTGGCCAATACTGTTACCACGTAAATCCAAACTAGTCAGGGAGGAGTTGACTGTGAGGGCCTGAGAAAGAGCGGAAGCTCCGGCGTCCCCAATACTGTTACCACCTAAATATAAACTAGTCAAGGAGGAGTTTACTGTGAGGGCCGGAGAAAGAGAAGAAGCACCGGCGTCCCCAATACTGTTATAAGATAAATCCAATCTAGTCAGGGAGGAGTTTGCTGTGAGGGCCTGAGAAAAAGAAGAAGCACCGGCGTCGCNCTTGGGAAAGACAAGAAGCACCGGCGTCGCCAATACTGTTATGACGTAACTCCAAACTAGTCAGGGAGGAGTTTACTTTGAGGGCCTGAGAAAGAGAAAAAGCACCGGCTTGGCCAATACTGTTACCACGTAAATCCAAACTAGTCAGGGAGGAGTTGACTGTGAGGGCCTGAGAAAGAGCGGAAGCTCCGGCGTCCCCAATACTGTTACCACCTAAATATAAACTAGTCAAGGAGGAGTTTACTGTGAGGGCCGGAGAAAGAGAAGAAGCACCGGCGTCCCCAATACTGTTATAAGATAAATCCAATCTAGTCAGGGAGGAGTTTGCTGTGAGGGCCTGAGAAAAAGAAGAAGCACCGGCGTCGCCAATACTGCCACCATGTAAATCCAAACTAGTCAGGGAGGAGTTTCCCGTGAGGGCCTGAGAAAGAGAAGAAGCACCGGCGTCCCCAATACTGTTATAAGGTAAATTCAATCTAGTTAGGGAGGAGTTTGCTGTGAGGGCCTGAGAAAGAGAAGAAGCACCGGCGTCCCCAATACTGTTATAAGATAAATCCAATCTAGTCAGGGAGGAGTTTGCTGTGAGGGCCTGCGATAGAGAAGCAGCACCGGTGTGGCCAATACTGTTACCAGAGAAATCCAAACTTCTCAGGGAGGAGTTTGCTGTGAGGGCTTGAGAAAGAGAAGAAGCACCAGCGTCGCCAATTCTGTTACCACGTAAATTTAAAATAGTCAGGGAGGAGTTTGTTGTGAGGGCCTGAAAAAGAGAAGAAGCGCCGGCTTCGCCAAAACTGTTACCAGATAAATCCACACTAGTCAGGGAGGAGTTTGCTGTGAGGGCTTGAGAAAGAGAAGAAGCACCAGCGTCGCCAATTCTGTTACAACGTAAATTCAAAATAGTCAGGGAGCAGTTTACTGTGAGGGCCATGGAAATCGCAGCAGCACCAGCGTCGTGTAACCCTGTGTGGTTAAAATTCACTTCAGTCAGGGACGACATGTCAAGGTGCTTACCTAAACTACAAACTAAGCGAGTTTCAAGACTTTCCTTAACACTTGAACATTCTAACAAACACTCACAAGCTAAACTCATATATTTACTGTGTCCGGCAGAGTTGATTTTTTTAGCTATACGACTAACGAACGACACTGCAGTTTCCTCACTCCGTGAAGCTATGATGCCACTCATGAACAAAAAGACCTGTCTCAGTCCATCCAAGTATCTCTTATCATCTACAACTGAGGTTAAGTCTCTTTCCTTGCTGATAACCTGAAACGCCAGGAAAAAACCAGCAAAAAACTCCTGAAAGCTTTTGTGTAAAAATGCGTAGCGCGTGCAAGGTTTGCGCTTGGCGCCACCTTGTTGAAGAGACAAGAACCCAAAATTGATTGACTTGACGGTATCTTCCTTCTCTTCAAAGTACAACTCTCCTTCGAGGAGGGATTCTAACGCGAAGCTGCCCAAAAGCAAAAGTTCTTTCTCATAACCTGAAATCAAGTCTTCATTGCAGCTTTCGAGTCCGTTTTTTTCTTCGTATCTTCTCAAAACAAAGGCAACAATTTCAACGTACAACTCAGTCCTACTTGTTGGAAGAACACCTTCGAAATCCTCGAAAAGACAACAGAGTAAAGCTGTATTGAGTGGATTTTTTGTTAACTCGCCTAGCGTTTTAAGTGGATCATCATCATACTCTGGAAGTTTCAATCGTTCAATCAGCTTCTCAGCCAAGTGTTCCTTGCCTTTAAAATACTTTCTGATAAAACTTTTCGCATCCTCTTTAGTAAATCCTACAATCTCCCACAGGGCGTCACAGTATGGCCTTACTTTCTTTCCAACCTCATGGCGAGATGTAATGACAATGTGACAAGCTGGGAGGAGTTTACTCTGAACGAGCGAGTAGTACATGTCCAGTTTAAAGGAATCTGCCTCATCTAATCCATCAAGCAGTAGCAAACATTGGGCCTGATTTTCTCGGATGTATTTGAAAAAATTCTCCTTAGCCTGTTCGTCAATTTCACCAGGAAGAAGTTGGTCGTCAATAGCTTCCCAGATGCCAGATTTAACATCGTTGCATCTAAGCAAGAGCAGCACTTCAATTGATGGAAAAGACGTGTCCCATTCATCTTGTTTATTTGCCCAGTCATACGCCAGTTTTTGTGAGTAGGTGGTTTTTCCCATGCCAGGTTCTCCTTCGATCAAAAGAATCTGTGGTTTCGGGCAATCAGGATGGGGTCTAAAGATAGCAGTCATGTTGGTGATTTCATCATCGGTCAGTGTTCCTCGGGTTTTTTCTTTGTTAACGATCTTCAGTCGGGTGAAAATCTCATTTAGGTTGAAATTAAGGTCACACCATGGAAATGGTACCAGCCGTCCTTCACGACGTTTGTAAAGCTGACGAATCCTTTCTATGATAGCTGGAACCCCTGGGAAATACAAGATACTAAAAATAAGATCGATTTGGTTGTCATACAAGCTGTCCACGCTCTGTATATCGCCTACGATACTTTTTTATGCGTTTGTAATGTTGCACAACGAACGAGTTAAAGACCTTTTTTGGGATACCTATAATGATTCTTAATCCTAAGAAGAAGTATGAATTATGTGAAGATATATTTTCATAACCCAACATACCGTTTGGCACGAAATTTTCCGGGAGTTTATTTTTGCGGATTGCCGATTTTTTGCGTTTTGCGGGAACTAATTTTTGCGATTTTGGACAGAGTGGTTTTTCTTTCATCTTTTTTTTTTTACAAGATGTTGCAATTACTAATTACAAAAAATGAATAGTTAAACAGACAAATTAAAAAAATAACCAAATAACAGATTGAAATAACTAAACAACTCAAGCTTGTTTGCGGCTAAAGGCTCAAGGATTCACGGACATTTGAAGGCTCTATAAATAATTTAAATATTTCAGAAAAGCTTTAAACGCTAAGGAACTATATGGTTCGCTTTCTTTGGCTGCGGTGTAGATATAAAAACGAGCGACTATCAAGCAAAGATTAAACGTATAGAGGGATCGATTCTCAGCGATATATCCGTCAATCTTATCGTTATTGGTCAAGGACACTGAGGGCGAGTTATTATCGTTCCACCATGAGGTGAAAAGGTTCCAGAAGAAGTGGACATGCTGGCATTCTACAAACAGATGCTCTACGGTCTGCTTCAAGTTACACAAGACAGTAGTCACGGTAAGTAATTTTGGCCTTGAAAAGTTTGTCGCGAGTGTATAGGATGTGATGGTTTATTTTAAACTGAAAAATAAAAAGCTTTATGTTTTTTGTCAGCTTGAATGGAAGAACGTATAACGCCGCAAATGTCTGATCTGTGAAGCCAGCCTCCACAAGACGAACTTCTGATGTAGGTTTTTGGAAACGTCTAAAGAGTTCCCTCCAATGCTTTGGTAATTTTTTTACACAAGCCAATACAGCACAGAAAGTTTGTATTAATTTTATACTACTCCTTGAATGCTGTAAACGTCAAGAACTTTCCTTTCTTGTCTAGGATGTCTGGCAAGGTCGTTACGCCAGCATCATACCAAAAAACAGATTTGTCGCCGATAGTGACTTCATGATTATTCCACAAGATCTCATTTTCGATTTCGTTCTTTGTCTTTGCTGTGTGCTTGGATATGCTTTCCCAAGCACTGGGAACAACTCGGTAAAAAAGCGGCAGGAGAGGGAGCTCGGCTAAAGTTCTTAACGAACAGTTACATTTAAACAACAACGGGCTACCCACACTGTCTAAAAGGCTAAACGGTATTATCTTCCAAGATTGCGCTTGAGGGTCTAAAAAACGTTTCACCCACCCTGCCTCGAAAGATTTATCTATTATATCGAAATCAGGCATGCTGAGTCCGCCGTTATTTATCCTTCCAAACATTGCTGAGAGCTTGATTTTGGGTGGTTTGTGGTTCCATATAAAGTTGGATAGAGATTTGTTCACTTGATCGACAAAACCAGTGGGGACGCTGAGAACAGAGGAAATGAAAATTATTTTTGAAAGAGCTTAACTTTTGATAATGGTTATTTTTCCAAAGAGTGTTAAATCTCTAGAGGACTAGACGTTAAGACACTTTTCCAGGGCGACAAACTTTTTTTCAAAGTTATTTTTTGTTGAAGCTTCCGAATCACATGAGAAAGAAACGCCTAGAAAAACGCACTTCGTGGGCCAGTTTATTTTGAAAACCACAATGCCTCCGTTTTTTATCTATTCAGCTCTAATCCGCAACGCCCGCTAAAAGCCTCTAACTTCTCGAAAAGCTTTTCAACTGACTTTCCGTCGCGCACCAAGCATGAGGTGTCATCCGCGTATTGAGATAACTTATACTCCCTGCCTTTGAAATTTATACCCGTTATCAATTTGTATTTGCTGAAATTTCAACAGCAACTACAAAGAGTGAGTCAGAGTGCACCAGAAAGAGGGCAGCCTTGCCTTATACCGCGCTCTAATTCGAGAAACGACGTTGCATAACCGATATCTATAACGCAGCTTTGAATATTGCTCTAAATAGTATTGACCCACGGTATTAAAGAAGCGCCGAAATTAAACGTCTCTATAAAAACCTTTTTAATAAAGTTCTACTCTGAACTGTCAAAGGTTTTTTTGAAATCTAAGAACAACGCTATACCTGGATTTCCTAGAGTCTTTGTGCATTCTATAATGTCTGCTATTAAAGGTATCTTTGACCAATAAAACGGCCTTTGATATATTCCGTCTATCCTCATGTATAAGGCTGGGTAACTGCATTTTCGCAATTCTCGCTGCGATTGACTTAGTAGCAACCTTATAGTCTGTGTTCAGAAGCGAGATACGCCTCCAATGATCCAAAAGAGTCCTGTTTTTGTCTTTCTTTGGAATAAGAGTGATGATACCTCTCTTTTAAAAAATAGGCATTTCACCCTTCTCAAAAGCATAATTAAAGCTGTCAACTAATTCTTGCCCTAATAACTTCCAAAAGGAAAGAAAAAATTCCGCAGTTAAGCCATCCGTACCGGGAGACTTGCCTTTGGAAAAACTTTTAAGTCAGGCATAACATTCTTCTTTTGTTAAAAGACCGTCGCAGCTGTCAGCTTGATGTGGAGACAGCTGTGGAAGGGTTGAACTGTCGAAAAACACGTCAAAACGAGGATCATTTGGGTTTGTACGAGAAGAAGTGTCAAGCCTTTTAGAGAGTGGTTTTTCTTGCTGGGAATTACTTTTTGCGGTTTTCTGAAAGTACCCAGTACGCAGCATTGATAATATTTTCTAAATTTTCGTTTTCAGTGAGAACGTGCCACAGAAATAGATATTTTCAAACAAATAAACCAGTATTTCATTATATACCGTTTTGTTTCTGAATGAAAGAGACAAGTTGTGATTGAACAGACACGATCTCTTAGTACTGTTTTCTTTGTGTAGCGAATTAAAGTTAGAGAATATTTACTCTGGAGAAAATGTTTGCGAGAAAATGTTCGCGGTAATTTTTATTTGCGGGAACTATTTTAGCGGATCGCTGAAAAAACTGTAAACATTAGAACCCGCGAAAATTTCGTGCCACACGGTAGGTTGAGCGACAGAAGATATTCTTCGTCAAAGTTCCGAAATTTTACAAACTTTGGTATGGAGGAAATGAACTTGCTCTTTTCCATAGAAACGTCTGTAAAACTTCGCGACTTTCTGGAGCTATATTTATTGGTTAGTTTTCAACAAATCACACTAACTTTAACTTAGCAACTTAAGTGATTTTAGTGTGTTCTTTCCAGTGGTGTTGACGGATTTTTTCAAATGGTCGCAATCAAAACAGTTAAAGTACGTGGGAGGGTCTATTTTTTATGTTGAAATGGCTTGTGATCGGCTCATTTTTTTTCCTAGACTGCCAAACAGTTTCTTTTTCTTTCAAAAAATTAAACGCTGCTACTTAGACACAGAGCACCGTGGACGACGAGCATTTTCGGCGTGTGTCGCACGCGAGCCCCACACGCAAATTAGTCACTCTATTCAGTATCACTCCGTTTTCACTCTCTGTTGGTTGAGTGACAAACGCAAAAACAAAGCTGTTTGTAGCCTGTGTACAGACGTCCCCCGATTTTTTTCTGAGGGAGGGGAGACGTCTGTACACAGGCTAAGCTGTTTGGTGTCTATAGTTTTCCCTGAATACAATGGAGCCTTATTAAAATAGAAAACTTTACCATACCGAACCATTTTGAGCATTTTAGGGGTACAGTGTATTGCTGTTAGTCGCGTCAAAAACTGTACTAGCCTGTTTCAGACTCTCAGATAGCAGGGATCGCACCTAAGTGAAAGGCACGCGGAAATATGAACCTGTCATCTGGGGAAAAGGGAGCGTGTTCGCACTTTCACAAGGCCTCACGCGTACTCGATAAGACCTCAAGGTCATGTGGGTAGCTGTAAATTCTTTGTAATTTGGTCACAAGTTCGGGGTTGACACTAAAGTGCCACTCAATGGTATAAAACGTCACAAACGTTTACCTTCTTCAGGGTTTAGTTAATTTTTACATGGAATTACCCATATTAATTTGCGGTCTCCTCGAACGATAATCAAAATAGCTGACTGAAGATCGACAACTGAACAGCATATTGAAGGTTGAGTTGGATGGATTTACTAGCACATTTCCTTCTTTTAATAGACTGTGATTACGTACAAAAGAATGAATTGACCTAAAGTCAACTCTATCAGGCGCATGTGCAGCGCTCTACGCGTCTCATGATGAATGTTTTTTCATTTCGCCCCATATAAGGTAATCCAAGAAAGTCTTTGATCCTGGATTCCACGCTGTGGATTCTGGACTCCAGATACTGAATTCTGGATCCTTGTCAGTTGAGTTTGGATTACGGATTTTAATTGCTGCGGGATTCCGGATTCCTGGGGATGAGTTCCGGAATCCAAGAGTTAAATTCCAGAATACAAAACCCAAAATTCCGGATTCCACCAGCAAAAGACTTCCCGGATTGCATTGGTGGGGCGACTCATTAAAACAAAAGTGAAGCAAAGAGTGGAATAGGTTAGCTTTAAATAAAGAAGAACATTTTAAAAATTGAATGTTTTTTACATTACCTGCATGGTTCTCACCTAGCTTCCGCTTCCTCGGATTATCGTGTTGAGCCTCAGAGAGACCGTCCACTGAAAGAATCAGCCAAAGACATCATTAGCGTTTTTTGTCTTACTCTTAGTCGATACGCAATTTATAGCTAAGGAAAGAATGTATAATCTGAATTTTTGACCAGAAAAGACGCACAACTAACTCTCAAAGTACTAAACTTAAAGTTGAGCGTCTAAAAGCTGAGGTAACGACCCCAATCCTCACAAGTGCTTCTTTCTAACTCTTAATTTCACGCCGCTTGGCAATGAAGAAGGAATAGTAAAACGGAAGAAAAATATTGACGAGCCTTCTGATCTCGCATCTAAACTT